CTGTGTAATTTATACCCTGGCTGCTAAACCCTTGTTACTATTACACGGTATCTATCTAGTATTTTGTAGATTGTGTAACTTGCTGCCTGTTAAATACCGTCAAACTATTTGCAATATGTGCTTTATGTGCAATATATACTTTATATACATATGCAATCTTTAATAACTGTAATATATACTGGGCTGCTAAATCCTAAGAACTGCTACAGGATTTTGATTTGTAGATTTGATTTGTTTTTGATCTGTATTTTTGAAAATTATGTAACGTTTTTAGTTTTTATCTTTTTTTAGCATATTGTTTATTATATTATAACTTAGTACTTTTTTTTAGCATATTGTTGTGTTGTTTGTTTATTATATTATAACTTAGTACTTTTTTTAACGCATTTAAGATATGCAACACTAAGCTGTCTGTGGCTCTTTCCTTCTGTAACGCTGCAAATTTCGCCTCAGTGGGACTAATAAAGGTATTCTGATTCTGATTCTGAAACAAGTGAAAGGGAGTTACTAGTCCAAGAATTGTCTCAAGTCATTACCTAATTTCAACATGAGTTTGCATAGATTAAACAAATCCAAGATATAATATGTTAAATTATCTTTAAAAGTGCTGGTTGGCTAATCTTGACAAAACCCTTAAACTAAAGCAAGCTAATCGGCCTCTGCCTTGTTGGTTATATTTAAAAGAATATATGAAAGCAGTATCAAAAATCATTTTACTTTCCAACAGAAGATGAATAACAGTATTTCCGAAAATGTCAAACTACTGTTTCCTTTAAACATACACCCATAACACAAACTATAAATACACAGTAAAAGGAGACAACTCAAACTGAATCATGTCAAACGGTTGCTGACTCACCTTCACGTAAGGAACTCTGTGTTTGTCTTCATGCACCGACAAGTTGGTTTTGGTCACTAGGATTTGAGAAAAAGAGGTCATTGTGTTACCCAAAGCATTATCTGCGTGTGTACGTGTGAGAGCAAATAAGCATCTGCATGTGAATGTGTTTTAATTCGACCTGACTATGTTCTCTTAGTGAGTCAGACTGTGCTAATGCTGCGTGAAAAAAACATGTCACTCCATCTATGAACGATATTTATGGAACTGAACTTTTCTCGTCGTTGAGAGGTTAAGAAGATGACTCTGCTAATGTCAGCTAACAAAATAAAAGAAACACTATTTATTGCCTGAGTGTCTGCATTAATCATCTCACATTTAATAATCATATAATGTTGTTGATTTTTTTACTTTCCCTTGATTTTGGAGGCCGTTTTTCCCCTGGAGACTGTGTGCTTGTGAGTATACGTGCCGTTGTGTTTTATCGCACTATAGCCACTTTCTCCTCTTCGGAAAACCTCCACAGGGTGTTGTTTTCTGTGCTGCCTCGCTTCATCTCACTTGTTTTCTTCTGTTTTGATGTTCATAGCTGTACATGTTCCTCTGCTACTGTGAGCTTCCCCGCATACAAATGGCGGCTTTTGCCTCTGTCTCTGTCTCGATTAAAGATGTAATCACAAGGATGCTGCCTACAGCTCCCTGTCCAGGCCTCTCCATCATTTCACACTGGTTACACCTCGTGATAGGACTATGAACTTCAATCTTGTGCTGCTTTCGTGTGTAATAACTAAACCCCCCACCCTGTTTTTATTATTTGAAGCAAAAAAGCATAAGAAAAAGCAGGGATAAATTAAAGAAAATTAAATGTGCTTTCCATAATAAATTCATAATGATATAGACTCAGTTTGTTATGTGTTACTGTAACCTATTTGCTTTTTTTGAGTCGAACGCTCCAAGCTTGCTCCCTTTGTTCTGATTAATGGTCAATGAGAGCTTATTTTTTATTTATTAAAAAAGCAAGCTAATCACCTGCTGCCTGCCTGGTTAGATTTAAAAGAATATATGACAGCGCAGCGGCATTAAAAATCATTCCAAAATAAATTGAATAACTATATTTCATAAAATGTCAAACTACTGTTTTCTTTAAATGTACACCCATTAGACAATACATTCATAATGATATAGACTCAGTATGTTATGTGTTACTGCAGTTAACCTATTTGTTTTTTTTGTCGAACGCTCCAAGCTTAGCTCTCTTTGTTGTGATTAATGGTCAATGATTGCTAATTTCTTGGACAATGTTGCAGTAGCTGTGAATAAATGTCCTTGGTTTGTGTCGCTATAAGTTGTAGGCACTATCATCAGGCCCGAGTTTTGTCTGAAGTGTTCCTCTCAGGCTGAGAGCCCAAACACCCCCCATGAATAAGGCAGGTCACACAGGATGTAACCTCTAAAGTCAAACACTGGCAGCATGGCTGTTCTTCTCTCCTCTCTTTTCTCATTAGGATTTTGGCAGCAAGATAGTAAGTGGAAAAACATGATTTCAAAAGTGAAATGTCCCCCACTCCCCCAAAGACGTTACACCCTTAATGAAAATATTATTATTATGCACCTAGGTGTGGCTTACATGTTTACATTTCCCACTGTGTACCGCAAGGGAACTGTACAGTGTTAACAAATGTGTGATGTGTTTTCACTAGGAAGTGTTTGATGCATGAACACACCATCCAGCAGGTCTCGTATCTTATCCATATAGATCTCGAAATAGGAGACCTAAAACAAAGCAAAAAAACATTAAGCAGGTGATCTATGGAATAAAGAGGAGGAACAGAAAAAAGAGATTCTCAGAGAAAGGAAGTGAGGGAGGATCATTGTGAAAATATGCAAAATGATGTTGCAGTAATCTGTATTCCAGTGGGTGCAGCTGTATTATGCTCTAAGACTGTTGCATAAAGGGGAAACAGCACAACAAATGTAGTAGCATTTTCAAGGTTTATATATCATGATGTATTGATGCGTGGCGGTTTCCACTCAGCCAATCCATGTGAGGATTACCTCAGGCTGTATTCCCTAGGTATCACAGAGTAAAATAGAGCATGTTCATCCCTGGGAGACAAGTGTGCACATCTACGCATGAACAAACGTGCACACACATGGAAATTCAAACCAACCTTTATGTGAAATTCTAGGTTCTCATCCATAGCAAATATATGTTCAAAAATGTCCTCTGCGATCCGGGGGATGATTCCCATTCCCTGGGGATCATGAAGGTTCCCCTACGAGAAGAAAGAGACGATAAAAGTATTATGTGAGTAAAAAGAAGAATGAATGCAGACACTGGGATGAATACAGTGAAGAGAAAAGTAAAATAAAAAACAGCAGAGACGCTTTGACTTTAAAAAGAACAGGGTTATTGCCCAGAGGGATTTGTAAAGGAGGTTAGTTCCGACCAAAGGCTGGGAAAGAGAGATAGTGAGCGGTGACAGTTATGGAGGGAGATGTACTGTCAGAGGAGAGCATGGGAGAATATAAAATAAAAATGTGTGTGTGCCTTTTGAATAATTTAGTGATACTGTACCTCCATGGTGTGTGTTTTTCCAGAGGACGTCTGCCCATAGGCAAATATAGTCCCATTGTATCCACCCAAAACATCTATAATGAGAAAAGATCAAACATGTTAAAAACAGAAGAACAACATTTTAGAAATAAGGGATGGTGCAAAGTAGTTGCGATGAATTTACATAATTGGGATAGTCTTGAACATCCTCACATGAGTAACTTTAAAAAAGCTGTCTAGCTCGATATTATGGTAAAGAAGTGAAAAATAGAGCCTGATTAAGAAACTCACACAATGTTGCTATTTTTTATTTATGTAACCTTTGCCAATGCAGAGACCTCATTATGTAAAGTATGATAACCTCATTAAAGACTGCTCGAAAATAAATATATATACATTTAATGATGTGTGTCTGTTATACAGACAAATATAATTACCTGTTTCCTTACTAAATGTAAGGTAAAGCAATTTTATGATATATTATTGCCATTTTAAGAGTTTTAAACTTCTGATTATCAGGATCATTTCATGCAAGTCAAAGTTATTTTGTCAAGGAAAATCGTGACGTAACATTTTCGCATCATACAGTACCATACCTACAGTGGAAAAGATTATTGGTATAAGAGTGCCAAACTAAAATAAATCTAACAAAATTACACATTTTAGAGAGCCAGGTATGTAAAGCAGAAAACAGTTGGATTAGATAAGCACAAAAATAATTTGTTATGTGTTTACTTGTAGTACTGATACCGTCCACTAGACTCCTAGTTACGTCGCGAGCTGCGTACTTGATTTTGTTCGGCAGCCAAATACCGCAAAATAATCTGTGACGCGTTTGTGTGTATTGTGTTTGTTTCCCGGGGAAAAACTCACAGCTGTTGTTATGCCTGCTGTGACGTTAAGTTGCCGCTTGTAATTATGCCGTTATAAGCTTAAAAGTTTTATTTATTATCTGAATTTGGCGAAACAAGTTTAATATTCTAAAAACCAAGACTTTGTTTATTTGAAATCAGATGAAAACAAACTGTCACAGACCCTGCCGTGTTATCTATGATTACTATACGCGTTTCATTCATAATTTCAGCGGGAGGGAGGGGGAGCGGCGCTGAGGAACAGCAGAGTGTCTTAGTTCAAGTTAGACAACTACAATTACATACAATACATGCAATTTTGTGTGTGTGTGTGTGTTCCAAGTGAATCTGCGGCACCCTGGTGGCCAGTACATACATTATGTGGCCCCCACCACCATCAAAGTTGCCCATCCATGGCCTAGACATCAGACCTTTTATTCTTGTCTGTCAGTCATCAACACCAATCAGAAGTGCTGTGCTCCACATGTACCAGTCATTCTTAACCAATCAGAAGTGGCCCATGATAGAAGGTGATAGACAGATTGATCCAATCAGCTGCCAAGTATTTTTGAAATACTTTTCCAAATGGCTTCCAATGGAGCTTTCCTAGATGGTTTGGTGAAACAAACCATCTAAGTTAGGTTAGTTATGCTCAATCACATGTTTTACATCTATTACAGGGTGAATCTTAAACTGAAGCTTGACTTTAAAGCAACCCAATGGAAGTTTCATGTAAGTTTAGTTCTTTCACTCTTAGCTCGGGCTGCGGGGGTGCTAGAGACGGAAGCACGTTGATGCGACCTTCCTAGCCGGAGATATGGCCGTATTTTAAACTTCCGTTGAGTCGCTCAAAAACAAGTATCGCAAATCTAATCACAATATCTGTCAGAATGATCGCAATTAGATTATTTCCCCAAATCGTGCAGCCCTACATCATACCTGCAACGTTTAATTCTCCAGGAGGCACCTAGTATAGTACCAACCAAGATGTTATTCTCCAAAGTGAAACAACACCTCAACATTTGAGCTAATAAACCCTTGTGTAAAAAAAACCTGCATGACACATAATAGAACAAAGAATAAAGAATCTGTCTGGAAATAAAGACAGACGGAGATGAGATCGCTTAACAGCAGAGACCACCACAAAGAGAAACACAGAAGAAGAAGAGAGGGAGATGAAAGAGTGCATAAATGTAAGAGAAAGATGAAAAAGCATTAAAAATATGTAGCAAAATGTAGAGAAACTGACAACCAGAAAGACCAAAAAGGACAACAAAAGTAAATTTAAAAATGTCTCTGGCCTCGTTGTTTAACCCTTATCCCCCGAGAGATTTCAAATCTTACTTCAGATCTCATTCCTTTATTTTGCCAAATCCCAAACCTTGGATTTTTCCAACCCTGCGATTCATCCCACCGTGTTATACCACCCTTCCTCGGTCTAAGTAATCTTTCCTAGCAAATCAATCTCTTTGCTCCATGCTCCATCTACAAAAGGGCTAGTGAAGTTTCACACTCACTTTGATGTGGGCACAGAAATGAGACCTTAACAGGGGGGAGAGGCAGACAGAGGGAGGGGCGAAGGAAAGAAGATTCGATTCTCCTCTGGCTTCGTTTGATCTAGGGGCCTTCGGATACACCAGTCCCGCTTTGATTGGTATGCATCTTGTTAATGTGTGCATGTTGATGCTCACACCTGAAAGTCGTGTGGTCGCATCATGTTATGGATATTGGTTTTCTCTCTGCTTTTAAGTAGCTTAGTTCGAATGCATTCAGTCAGTGTGTAGAAAACTGACAAAGCCGTAAAGGTGAACCGAAGGATATTGAGATTGAAAGAGTATTGACTCTCTCCCTCAGCTTTTCTGTCACTCACACGTCTCGGATGAAAAGAAAAGGCAAACAGTTTACGTGACTCACCTTTGACAATCTGCTTGGCACAGGTGTTGTAGACCTGTATCTGGGTGGTGTTCGTAGGAAACACCTGGTCAAACACGTATGACTTCCCCTGTGAAGTACAAACACACACAGTCAGTCACACCACAACACAGACAGATTGGAGATTCTGATTTGTGTCAACACTTCATCATCCCCTGTGACTCCCTTCCTTGGAAGTTTGTGAAGCAGAGCAGGGAATGTGAGAGAGACTTCACACATAATGTTTATCATTAAAACATTATGTAAAGCCATATTGCCACTGTAAAGTGCTACATCCATATTTAATTCGTAAACATGCTTTATGGACGCTGAGTCCATCTGTCCTGAATAGCAGTGCATATATATCACAGTTTGAGGCCAGTATGTCTCCTTTGAAGACTATGCTTTCTGTGTTTGTCTCTATGTATTTTATTTGTGTACATTCTGCGCTACTGCAGAGGATGCTTTGCATGAGTGCACTGTTAAGCCTTAGGCAAAAGGCTGTGCAACCCCAAGAGAGACAGAGAAAGAGATCACATGTGAGGTGAAGCCATTAGAGGCAGCGTAAAGTGATGGAGTGGAGAGGAGAGATGTTGTGGAGGAGTAGAGCAGGGGAGTGCAAATCCAGAGAGAGCAGAAGAAAGTAGATGACCTGAAAGCAGTTGTCACGGTTGGGGAAAAATAGGGCCCAAATGCAGATTGAGGAGGAAGCAGGTTTCAAAAGGAAACAAAAGGCGAGCTTTATTTTCAAAAGCTGAAAAAACAAGAATCCATGTACAGGTACGAGGTAAAACAAGAATCCATGAACAGGTACGAGGTAAAACAAGAATCCATGAACAGGTACGAGGTAAAACAAGAATCCATGAACAGATACGAGGTAAAACAAGAATCCATGAACAGGTACGAAGTAGCATCCAAACAAAAGGTGACTGTGACCAACATGAAGGGAGACATGAACGACAAATAATGAACCAACACCGAACACAGGAAGAGACAAGACTAAATACAGGGAGGGATAATCACGAGACGAGAAACAGCCGGGCAGGGAAGGAGAAACACAAGGGCAACAGGTGAACACAATCAGACAATCAGACACACCAGGGAAACTAACGACAGGGAGGAAGACAAGACATAGGGAGAACAGAATAGCAAAATTAAACCATGACAAGACAAACCAAACTAAAACCATGACATAAAACTAAGATCGTGACAGCAGTAATGGCATGGAAGAAAGACTGTACTTAAAACATTATAATATTATAAAGAGGTTTTTTTATACTGAATCAGTGGGTTGGTTAACCAGACGAAAAAGCAGCCTGTTAGTGAGAAACAAGACAGCCAATCAGACGTCCATCAGCTACAAGTCAAACTGCCAATTTCTCACAGACACAGACATGGGTCGCCATTCAGCCAGTTAATTATCCAACTAGCATTATAACACTGAAAAGCCACTTTCCATATTTTACAGACACCACATATGAGGTAACACAGTATGTGAAAAAGATAGAAACCGAAGGCAGTCTAGTCTTGTTATTAAAACATGCCTGATAGCAGTTTGTGTGTGTGGTGGGTGTAGGGATGCATATACAATGTTCCTCGAGCAGTGTGTGCAATTGTACAAGACAGCCTAGACCACCCACAAACCTGCAGACATCCACTGAGAGAAGAAGAAACACAGTAGAAGGCTATCTTACCTTCACAGCTATTTTTCATTCAGGTTTTATTAAAGTATGGTCTTTGTGATACGTTGGTCGCATGACGAACAAACTACACTTACTGTATGTAAGGTATGCTGACTTTGATGAGGAAAGATATTTGTATTGTCTCTTTTCTTTTTCTTATTTATGAAACAGTCTTCAAAACATGTTTCATGGAAATGTTAAATGTAGATGTTTATGTTATATACTTTTTTTAAATTCACATGATTAATTAAAAAATACTTGTAATCTGATACAACCTTAAAATAATGTTTGGTTTAAAATCAAGAGCTGTCTATGCAACGCTTTATTTGAGGATCTAATGTTTAACTAAGGCATTATGGGTCAAAATCACCATGGAAGCAGATTAAATAAATGTTTGTTTGTGTGTAGGCAATCTAATGCAACCAGACATGGAACTCATCTTTGGTCTTCTTGACCATATACTTATATATATACATACATACTCTAGTAAGGTGTCTGAACGTTTCTTCAAGCCTGCAGAAAGGCTGTGTCAGGCAGAAGATGACGTACCCTTTGAGAGATCTGCAAAGGTCTCTTATGTAATCTAGATGTACTGTCTAATGGCCAGGATTTACTTTTGCCGCAAACCATCACTAGTATAGGCTGTTCTTTCCTTATTGTCGGGAGGGTTGTATAGGGAGCAGGAAGTGGGAGCGCCATGTTGCATAAGCACGTCATTAAATCCATGAGTCTTGTTCTATTCATGCTCCTGTTCAAGGCAAGAGGGGATAATGTCCCTACAAGGAAACACATTGTTATTGCTTCTATGGTTTAAATATGGAAGTGTATTGATATATAGGGAGAAAGGCAGGCATTAAAACCGTTTTGAAAAGAGAATGAAATTGAGAACCGTTTCAACATGCCACACATTCATTAGAAATAAGCATTTTTGACTGGTTGTAATACACTCTCAAACTCCCATGCTAATGCATTCTATGCTTTCTTAATATACTATGACAAAAATAAAGTTGTTCTTCCCCTTGCATAAAAGCCATACAACTCGGGAGGGTGCTTTAAAAACTGTGATTATGTCTGCACCAGCAGTCTGGGATAAAATACATCAATAATCCCCCGCACCTCAAAGTATTACATAGGCTATTGCCCCGCTGCTTCTGAGCCTTTTAAATGACACATTCAACAACAAGCTTGACACAAAATCCCAGCGCACACAAATCTAAGTGGCTTAAATAATACATTATTTGGCTTTTAAGAATTGGCTCTTTTGTGGTGTAAATCACAAATCACTGTGTTGCTTTCTTATTTCGCAAGCACATAGATATTATGTTGGTTTTCTACATGCCATTTTAACATTGTGCATGTATCCTTAGATTTACTGTATGTACAAGGCTTTGCACTGTAAGCGACTAATATGTGGCAGTAAGGTGTTTATTGTTTACAGTATATGATCAAAAATCTATAATGGAAGGTGATGATAAATAATGAAAATAGTAAAGTCAATATTTTACAGCAGTAACAACACAACCAAGGGAGCAACAATGATATGTTGACTAGTAAGTCAGGCTGTGGGACAGAAGAATAACACAAGAATAAAACATTTTGATTTAACATTTTTACAAACAAAATGTTACTTTTCTGTGCTCCACCCAGGCATGCAAATGTTGGCCGTAAAAAGGCAAATGGCTGTGTGTCAACTGGAGTGAAAACCCCATTAGGTGAATTATTCAGAATGCACTGTTTACATGTTGAAATGTTTCACATAAGGCTCCTCAAACAAGAACAACATTGTTATCACATGTCTTAGTCGGAAAATGTTAAGTTCGGAATAAGGCCTATTTCCGAATTTCCGAAAAGACCCATGATATCAAATCTGAAATGTTAGTGGAATATTAGTGTGCATGTAAATAGTCATGTTAAATGTATTTCATCTGTTTGAAACATATGAAAAGTGGATATGAGCAGGCTACCGTTATGGACCGAAAGTCATAATCCCTTTTAGTGTTGCCATGGTTTAACATGCAGCCTGGTAGCCTACTGCTCCATCAGTTCATACACTGAAAAAGTGAATGACTAGTATTTAAATAACTCAACCTTGTGATAATTTCCCAGCTTAAGAAAATATTTTGAAACCGTTACATTAAGATGATATAGTGAGAGTAGTTGAGCGAAGCTATTTTGGTCTGCCAAGATCATTTATGCTTTTTTCATGCCACACAGTGTTTCTGCTCAACCTATTTAAATGCCATTTGTGTCACTCCCAAGAGCTGTAGTCGAATATGAGGCAGCATTAACGCAGTGTAAGACGTGAATGAGATCTTTTCCACAATGAACTCCGACTTTATAGAGCTAGCTTTGCTTAAAATATTTTGTCTGTGAAAGAGTGGTGGCAGAATCCAACCTCAAGTTTAGCTATTATTCTCCTCCATTTCCTAATAAGCGGAACTGCTTAGCTATTATTTTCAAGTGCTGTATTTACAGCTGCAGGTACAAACAAGCTCCCCATCAGAGCTGATTAGCACTGAATATGTACCCACTGAGCCATGCAACGCTACACAGTACGCACATGCAAACCACACCAGAGAGAGAGGGAGGTAGTGAGGGAGAAATCATGATGTGGTCTTCATTGGGGTGAATCAAATGAGTTGGTTACATAAACTGGATACAAAAAACCCTTGCCAATCATTTGTTTCAGTGACTCCTCTGTTAAATCACTAATCTGCTCCTATCCTGCATAAATAAGATATCATAAATGTACTAAACATTGTGAGAGCTCTCTATCTGCATCTATTTATTGGACATTCAGAGAAACCTCTGTGTGTAATTTAACAGATGTCTTTTCCATTTTGTGCATGCAGCTGATAAAGCTGGAATGGGAAGCAGCAAGGTGTGTGTGTGTGTGTGTGTGTGTGTGTGTGTGTGTGTGTGTGTGTGTGTGTGTGTGTGTGTGTGTGTGTGTGTGTGTGTGTGTGTGTGTGTGTGTGTGTGTGTGTGTGTGTGTGTGTGTGTGTGTGTACATATGTGCAAACGATATATCAAATGATGCTCCTACATGCAGACATTGTACATGGCCCACAGCTTTGTGTGCGATGTCAAACACCGATATGCCCTGTCCAGTTGCAATCTACTGCTGTCTGCCAGAAGACAAAGAGGCGGCGGTTTGCAGGCAGAGGGAGAGATCAAGAGAGATCGAGAGAGAGAGAGAGAGAGAGAGAGGGAGAGAATTAAAAACTCAGATAAATCAACAGAATCTGTGAGAATCAATGGCCGTCGGCAAAGAAAAGCCTAAAAACAAGACTTTGCTGAACAAAACAAATACAAGGGGAAAATAATCACTGAGAAGGAATAATGATAAGTAGGATAAATAAGCCTTAAAAACAGCAACTAAATGAGAGTGTGAAATACAATCATGATC